TGGAGCTCATCAGTGGTCACTACATCACCATGTTGGTGGAAGGGCAAGCGGTTTGGATCGCAGATGATGGTGAGCGTCCAAGAGCGGTGAAAGAAATTCCGAGCATTATCCAAGAAGGCACAGTGATGGTGTGGGCCTCAAAAGCTGAACCCTCGGATTTCTGGTCCAATCCCATTGGTACTATACAACCACCGCTGAAGAGACCGAAGATCCTGCAAGATGAGGTGCAATTGTTCTTTAGCAACATCACTCAATGGAACAAAGAGGTCTTCCAATGGCTCATCCAGCAAGACCTGCAGATTGCGCTGCTGGTGGAGACACACATAGCAGGCCCTAAGATGGAGGCTGCCATGAGTGACCTGTGTAGGTCTAGATGGATGCCCACCTTCCTGACTGCATATGAGACGGGCAGAGGAGGCACAAGTGGTGGACAAGCCTTTTGCTGCAGGGAAGGGCAGACGGCCTACAAGCTGCACCACTATGACCATGAAGGAAATGGATATTTGGCCAATGTGGTCCAACGGCAGAACTGGGAACTATGTGTCATTTCAGTGTACCTCAAGTGTGGGGAGGACCTGAATTCGGTGCCCAATGCAAGAGTGCTGGGACAGGTGGCAGCCTTGGTTCAGGAGCTTGCTATACCATGGCTCCTGATTGGGGACTTTCAAGTCCCGCCTGCACAGTGGGATGGACACAACTTGTTGAATGTCCTGAAAGCGGAAGTGGTGAGCAGTGGCCAACCGACCATGATCAATGGAGCTGAAATTGATTACATTGTTGCAAGTAGGGCCATTGCACCGTATCTGGACCTCAAAGTCAACTGGGATGTACCATGGAAACCACATGCTGGATTGATGGTACATGTGGCGCAAGAAGCACCTAGACTGGCCTTGCAACAATTGACACAGTTTTCCCCGGTGCCCAGAATGGAAGAGGCTGAAAAGCCTTGGGATCACTTCGAGCCGGCCCCAAAGCCTTTCTGGCTGGGTAGGCCAGTGGGTCCCAAAGAGATCCAATGTGCAGAGTTTTGCCACCAGGCTGAACAGTTTGCTTTACAACAATTGCATCAGCCAAAGTATGGCAGGGGATGGTATCTGGCCTTGGAAATCAAGCCGCTTGCCAAGACAAAGCCGCTGACACCGTGGAGAAGGGGTGACTTAGCCTACTGGGGGCAGATGAGCTCCCTGCTGCAACATGTGGCCCAGAGAGGAAGCATCGGTGTGGGAGCCATGGCTCATCTGAGAGCCAAAGCAGCTGACCTCACCAGCAGATGGCAGGACATCCATGGGTTTGAAGATTTCCAAGCAGGCCTGCAAGAGCTCATCAATGGGGGAGATGCCCCAATAACCCTGTTGATACAAGGTGCGGATTGCAACAAAGAGCAAGCTCAAAAACTGGCATTCAACCGGCAAGCTGATGAATACCAGAACTGGCTGTCTCAAGCAACCCTCAGGGGGCACAGTGGCATCTACAAGTGTTTGAAGGCCCCAGATGCGGTTCACGTCAGACCTTTTCGCAAAGTGCCTGTGCAGCAGAAACAGCAGATGAGGGAAACACAATGGTTTGGAATGTGGCAGGTTGTTGACAAGCCCAAACCAAATGGGGAGAGAGAGAGGCTGAGATATGAAGGCATTGTGCAAGCCCGGCAATGGGAAGATCTTGATCCCCACAAGGTGATGAAACAACTCAGCAAACTCCCTCAAAAAGCTTCAGGACCAGATGGAGTCAGCTATGCCTTGTTGAAAGCCCTGCCCATTGAAGGGGTCACTGCTCTGTGCAACATGTACAGGAAGTGGGAATTGGAAGGCCGGCTGCCTGATCAAGTGCGCACAACATTGGTCCTGCTGCTCCCCAAAAAAGAAGACATTGAGAGGCCCATCTCATTGACGAGTGTGCTGTACAGGACGTGGTGTCGATTGAGATGGGACAAACTGCGACCATGGCAGACCAGCATTGGCCAGAAGCTCAGTTGGGAGCGAAGTGTGCCTGGCACACATGTCCTACAAGTTGCCCTCATGAGGCTGCTGAAATGTGAGGTAGGCCGTGCCACTGGAAAGCATGTGGTCTCGCTTCTGGTGGACCTGCAGTGTTTCTATGACAGTGTTGTGCTTGAGCAACTGTTGGAAGCATGGGAGCCTTTGGATTTCCCGCCTGCAGTGATGAACATGGTATACGAAGTGTATACCGGGCCACGGCTGCTCCAGGCCGAACAGGTCACCTCCAAACCTGTGATCTGCTCAAAAGGAATCCTGGCCGGATGCCCTGCAGCACCGTTAGTAGCCAAGTTGATCCTGGCGCCAGTGTTAGGCCCTTTCAAGGAGCAGTTCCACAAAGCCACCATAGATGTGTGGGTGGACGACATCTCCATTGACTTCGTTGGGGATAGTTTGAGAGGAGTTTGTCAGGAGGCCCTCCATGGATTTGAGGTCTTGCAACAGAGGCTCACGGATGCTGGGCTGACAATGTCCCTGGCCAAGACTGGGTACCTCGCCTCATCGAATGATTGCAAGAAGGAGATCACCCTGCTGAGGAGAGAAGACCAACCCACAGTTCACGAACTCCTGAAAGATTTAGGCTTGGACTCCAGTGGAGGTCGACGGAGGAGGATTGGAACACAGCAAAAGCGGCTTCTCAAGGCAGGAAGGCGAAATGCCAAGCTGTCCCATTTGAAGATCAAGGCCAGACCCATCCGGATTAGAGTTTGGAAGACCTCTGTACACTCTGCGGCATGCTATGGTTTGGAAGCTCAGGGCATTGCACCACAGCGCCTGCAAACGCTTCGAACACAGCTGGCAAGACATGGAGGCCTCCAGAAAGGAGGCAGTGTTGATGTTGTGTACGACCAGAATGAGAAGCTGCAAGATCCACTTGCCACGGTGGTTGAGAGACAACTCAAGGCCATGCACTTGCTTGTCCTCAAATGGCCCCCCGGAGCAACTTGCTGAACTCCACACTGCCTGGAGAATTAGCTGGAGAAGATTGAAAGCAGCGGCTTATCCTTGGATGGTGGTCACTGGACCAATGGCAGCACTTCAGGTCTATATGATGGACATGGGTTGGGATGCCAGTTGTCTCAATGATTGGGTGCGTGCTCAAACTGGCTTGCTGCCAACAGCCCAACTCAATATAGAGTTCCCTTGGCCCTATCTTCAAAGACAGCTGCAGCAAGAACTTGCAAATCAAAGGGCACGCAGGATCCAAGAGTTGGAGCATGCCTTTCCCCTGATGAGAAGGCCTGACTGGAGCATATATCGGAAGGCAATGAAGCAAGCTTCACCCAGTCAGAAAGTGGCAATCAATGCATGGACGCAGGGCTCATTGAGGGCACACTATGGTGGTGAGAGGATGATGTGTCCTATGTGCCAGGTTCCGGTGAGCATGAAACACCTGGTCTGGCAGTGCAACTATCACAAGGATGAGTTGCCGCAGGAGTGGAAGCAGATGATTGCAGCCAATGAGAATACTATGCTATGGGCCAGGGGGCTCATTGATCAGCCGGCCTTTGATCCATGTGAGGGTGCTGATTCCTGTGAAGTTGATGGCATCTTCAGTCATGGATGGCCTGTGAGGATTGGCCCCCATCAGCGGTTAGCCATTGGTCTGCAGCAAACCAGCAAAGACCCGAGGGTGAGGAGATATGCTGTAGCGGTGGTGGCAATGCAGTGGCAGGTTGATGCATGGCAAGTCATTGGGCAATGCACTGCCATCGCCCCAGGGCACAGCACTGAAGCAAGGGCATGGTTCTTTGGCTGTTGGCTGGTCCTACAAATGGTTTTGGGCAGGCATCAGCTAAACATACCTCACCCAGCAGGTTGGACGGCCATCCAAAAAGGTGCGGCAGGCAGAGTGGCCCCTGATCTGTGGCATAATTTGCCAGAGGATGAGTGGAAGAGGCTGCAGCTGCTTCAAGTGCCGTGGAAGCTGATGAAGAGTCAGGCCACCCATGACCGGGGCAGGCAGCAGTACCTCCTGGCAAAGCAACTGGCAGTGCAGAGGGCTCATCGAGAACAGCCGAAGTCCCTGGAACAGGAGTTGGTGATTGAGGACCAGCTGCACTTGGAAGTCTACATGACTGCAGCCAAGAGGATCAGCAAAATGCTGCAAGACAAAGAACACTATATGAATGGCAAGTTGGAGCCTGTGCCTGACAGCGGTCCTAAGGAGACCAAAAAGAAGCCACCACAAGGTCGATTGGCCCTTCTTCGCCAGCTGACGTTAAGGGAGAGACAACCAGGCACCCATGAGTGGGAGATCTACAAGGCTGGAATCCAGTGCAAGCACTGCAACCGCAAGATAAAAGGCTGTGCGACGCATGCAGAGATTGCCCATCAACAGGACACAGTTTGCAGAGGGTTTGCAGCACGAACCATGGAGCAACAGATGCGGGAGCTGGTGGACAGCTCTGACCTTCTAGCAGAAGGCCACCCTGGACATAGATGGGTTCTGCAAGGCAGCAAATTTGGGTGCAAGCAGTGCTGGGAGAGCATCCCACGGCGTAGCAGCAAGCATCACCTTCAACAGTTGCTTGCAAAGGACTGTGCCACAGGCCCTGTTGAGGAAGCTGGCCTCAACTTGAGACTTCGCATCCACACCAGTCATTGTCTTGTGAGAAGAGGCAGATGGGTTGAGTGCCAGCAATGCCTCAGAAGCAGCCGGGTGGTTGATGGCAGGCTGCAGCAGTGGGTCCATCAACACTGCGTCAAAGCAAAGGGCCAGCAAAAACTTCACTTTGGGCCCAGAAGTTCGGAGAGCTAGATGCTTGGCGGTGGTTACAGATCCCAGGTACAAGGCGAAGAGAGCCTTGCCTGGTGCCACTTTTGGCCTACGGGCTGTGGCGTCGCTAGAGCAGACGCAAAAGAGCCGAGAAAAAAAAAAGACGGGTCCTCTAAACAGTTTGGCAAAGGGAAAGGGAAGGTTCAAAGGTTCAAGGGAGGCGGCCGAAGGTTCAAAGGTTCAAGGGAGGTGGCCGGGGCTTCTTGACACTCCTTCCCCGGAAAGGCCTGCTCGTCGGATCGCGTTCTCAGCCAGTACCCAGCCGCCACCAGCAAGTTCACGATCCTTGACACGGAGTCATCTCATCAAAGGCCAGCACACAGAAACAGTCAATGCCTCTGCTATATACAGTACTATATCTGAGGAGAAATCGACCATGAATCGAAGAGCGAAGGGGATGTTGGTCTCATATGACCTTAGCACCGGAGCATTTGTATCACAAAATCACCGTGGCCTTTACAAAGTCCATCTTCTTGCTGGCTTGGAATGGGACGTGCTGGGAGGGAAGTGCCCCTTGCCACCGAGTGAGAATCCAGCCTTCTCGTGTGAAGGGCAAAGGATGAAACAAACTTGTGTGAGTGAGAAACCGCTGGCGCCTCCAGCATGCGCCTGCATGTGGCCACAAGGCTGGGCACGGCAACAACCACTCGCCTCACTTAGAAACAACCCCGGTCGCTGTGGTCAAACTTCTCTTCCAATACTCGTCTCATACACGCAAGAGTTGAAATCCGCCCGCGACAAAGGTCAGAAAGAACTCACAGGCTTTGGTGCTTATATAGCTATAGGCTATAGCCAAAAAAGAATGCCTGTGATGCCAGGCAGTCAACCTGCTTTACCAGCATTTTTACATAGCTGTTCCTTGCCGGTATGCAATTTACAGTGCCTAAAGACCCGCAATTATTATCTAGCCTGTGCCTGTCCCCCTAGTCATTCCTGCACACGAACGTCAACAAATTGTTTGTTTACACATCCGTACGGCTGCAGACCAGCGGCAAAAAGCATGAGTGTTCGTTGGATCCTTGCCATCCTTGCCGTGATGCCAAAGAACCCAACATCCGCAAAAAGGTGTCTGGTCCACCCGTCTGTGAAGGCACAACACACTGCAAACTACACTTCAGTTTCTTGACAAGATGCTCATCAGAGTGGAACGCTGAACCAGTTCCACTTTCCTCACAAAAGGACTTGCCTTGTCACGGCCTCGGAACTTGCTGTCTCCCTCTCTCCTTCGTTTTCTTCGTTTTCTGTTTCTTCAGGATGCTGCATCCAGAAGTTGCCAACAGGCTCTCCAAGGACTGACGAAATGCTTCCAAGCCATCAGGTTTCTGGAGCTCCTCGCAATGTCCACAATGCGCATGACATCGCATTACTGTGCACATGCGAGGGCGGAGAGCACCTCAGGGCACTCCACATAGAAATATGGCTCAAACCCATGGATGTGGGCCATCAAGCTGTGCCCTTCCTCAGTCACCTTATGATGATCGAAGTGCATGAAGCGCGTGGGCTCCCATTCCATATCGCATGTCAATCCGAAGCCACTTGATTGTAGGGCCCTGGCACCATACATCCGCAACACCGGCACCACAGTTTCTGGAGAATAGGGATTTTCCAAGTTCGGAAAGCGCATGTCAGGTGCCTTTCAAGGTGGAAATTGCAAATCGCATAATTCTCACTGTACTTTGCATGTAGAAAAGGCTGCATTTCTCCCTCTCTCTCTCTCTCTCTGCAGGCTGCCTTTGTATAGTAGTCAATGTCCACCTGCATGAACTGCAGAGGTCCTGCTCGACTTCACAGGGCTCTTGAGCAGCTCTAGTCCAAGCTGACAAAACAAGGATCCTTGAAAATCCTCTGGCTCTGGCCTGTCCACAATGGCTCGGACAACGGCCAACGGCAGACATGACTCAAGCAGTGCCTCTTCAAGTGACTGAAGTTGTAGCGGGTACCTTCCACACCTGATGAGGCGCGATGGCTTTTGTGAGAAAATACGAGCATCCGGTCTCTGGGCAGCACACGTTGACGCTTTGCCTTGATTGCGGCAGTTTCTCGTTATGTCAAACCACGATGTGAGAATGTAAGACTTGAGACAAACACATTAAGCGATCTTGTGGAGTGAAGTTCCTGCCATGATACGACGACCTGGTTCGGCTCTGCTGCTCGTTTGGGTGGAGCAGAAGATGCGCTAAACAACTCAAGTTCAGCCATCCTTAGCCACAGAAGGACAAAGGCCACATAGAAAAACGGTCATTGTCGTTGTGTTTTGATCATAGGCTCAGGGTAGTGCTTTGATTCCAGATCAGGTTCGGTCATGGCAAATGGGCGCAGCAAGTCACGAAGCTATGGTCAGAGCCAGTCAACCCCGGCACTTCGGCGAACGGAAGCTGTGAATTGACACAGGCGAAGCTGACACGAAGCATGACTGACAAGATGGTAAGCAACTCAAACGTGTTGCAACGGTTCCTGTGGCGTGATTTCTGCTAGGATGCTCTCAGCTGGTGCCGACTCTCTTTCCCTCTCTCTCAAGGCATGCCTCTCACCAGCCAACTCTGCACTAGTGAAGTTTGTACAAATCCCAATTTCCATCAATTCCTGCCAATCTCAGGTTCAGTGAATGGTAGGCCTCCAGGCTCTTGCGGTGGCCCACGGAAACAAAGCCTTCGCATGTGGATGCAATGCATTGGTAGACCATTGCCTCCTGAATGCAGTGCAAAGAAGAGTGTGATACAATGATTAGTGGAAGCACTTGAAGTGCCTATTTCAAATACGCATGGGTACGGATAACGATGCTTCTACTGTATCTGATCCTCACAGCAAACAGCACAACATGCCGAGCCAGCACGCCGCGTAGTATGCTTTACTAGACTTCCAGCCCAGAACCCAACAAAAGGTTCCGGATTTGAGTGTTACAGCAACACCAACAAGCATCAACCGCGTCAGCTCAAAAGCCCCTTTGATCGACTTTTTGGAGGGCTCACCAGGGGCGCGCATGCGGGATTTTATACATTGACATGCTTTCAATGGTGCTATGCTTGAGGAGAGTGGCATGGTTCTGCAAGGGCACAACCTCCAGGTTGCAAAGAATGCTACTGCTACTGCAAGCTAAAGGCCAGAAACTTGCTTTGTACCAGAGACTTGCCGATCTCTAGCATCGCGTTCTTGTAGGGCTGGAACGCTTGAGCCGGTAGGCTTTACTTGGCAGGTGCTTTTATTTGATGTAGCCTGGAGCGAGCACGTTGCACTCGACGCTCTAAGTGACCCCAGTGGAATTAGGCTTCAACTAGGACCTAGGAAATGCTCTGGGTCCTCAACAATTTGCAGGTCGAGAGGGCCAAAGGTCTCCGCACCCCACGGAATGAAGATTGGCCAGTCACCCAAGCGTAGGGATTGCCGTCCAGTCATAGCAATCATAGTAGCATTGTCAAAGTTGAACCCTAAAATTAAGTTAACTACTAGCTTCTTGTTACTGCTAGTAAGGCACCTGTTACTACTAGCGTGGCACTTGTTCTTAGTAGCTTCTTGTTACTACGTTCCAAAGGTCGGTGAAGATTATTGATTTATCATTTCCAGATCTGGTCGGGGAAATGCACTGCACCGAGGAAATACACAACAAAAGCACAAATACTCCTCTTGCTCATGCTGAAGGTGTATCTAAAAAATTGTCGTGATTGGAGAAGGGTGAAAGCAGGAGTTGCGGCAGAGATGCATGAACTGGCAGCGGCATGCCATGGTATGGCTTCATTTCATGGCGCAGGTGGCTGCTCATGTTCGGGAATTTTATACGGCCTGCTTGCCCCTTTCTGCTTTGCAATAGTAGCGACCCACGAAACCCATATCACACGTGCAGTTTCATCAACACCGCTACCTGGTCCACACATTCAATCATTGCATTCTTGCTAAAGTTACGTTGACGCGGGACCGGCGCACACACACACACACACACTCGCAAGCAAACCTAGAAGTATAAAATGTGACAATGTGGAAAGTGGATCTTCACAAGCAAAGCATCGTGTGCAGGATCATTGGCAGAGGTGACCTCATCAACCAATGCAAAGGTTGGCCGGTGAACCAGCAGTCTGGCTACGCTGAGGCGTTGCTGTTCTCCAATGCTCAGCTGTTCATCCCACCTCTGAACCACATCCAGCTCGCCCTTGGTGCGTTCCAAAACAGATTGAAGCCCCACAGCAACCAGAATTTCATGCAAATGTGAATCGTCAACCTTAATTGCTCTTTGGTTGGGATACAGCAGCTGTTGGCGCAGAGTCCCCAGGCTCATGTATGGCCGCTGAGGCAAAAAGAGAACTGCACCCGGCTTCATCTCGCGCTTAATCTCCCCAACGCCCCTGTGCCAAAGTCCTGCCAACGCTCGCAGGAGAGTGGTCTTGCCACTGCCACTTGGGCCTGAGATCAGCAAGCCACCTTGCATCGGCGCGGAAAAGTGCGCATCTTTCAGAAGAATGCGATCCGCGAAAGCCAGTGTCAGCCCCTGCACTTCAAGCCAAGAGCTGTCATGCTCATCGGCAGCTTGTATAAGTATTTTGCTTTCACTGTTGTCGTCCTGGGTCTGCTCTAAATGGTAAGTGAACAGCTCTGTTGCAACTGCTGTTAATCTGGAGAAGTCTGAACAGTTGTCGGCAAAGAGCAGCAAGGCTCGCAGTACGGCATCAAAAGCTTCATTGGCTTGATTCAAAAGTGCAGCGTCCTGTGTCAAACCTGCCATCTGCACCATGACAAGGGAAGGACCAAGCCCCAACACCTGCCTGTACTGATCCTGCACAAGTTGCACGACGTCTTTCGCTGCAAGCCGATTCCACTCACTGTCGCTCCTCAACTGCAAGGACTTCTCTGCAAGCTGAACCTCCTGCCTCTGACCACCGTAGAAGAGGATTGATTCAGCATTCTCTCTCATTCTTGTCAGCAGGTAAGTGAAAGCTCCATCCGATGCACGCTCGGCAGAGTATAAAGCTGGCAAATCTCGTCCAAGCTGACCCGTGATCAACGTACCGCCAAGAGCTGCGAGGACAGCAAGTTTGGACAGAGCGGGAGACAAAGTCCTTAGCAAACCTGAATAGAAATACAAATCTACAGCAGCTTGGAAGCCGTCCAACCATAGTGTTGTTGCCAACGAGGTAAATTTCCCAACATCAGCTGAAATCCGTTGGTCTGGGTGCCTGTGATCAAAGCTATCCCGAGTATCTTGAAGCCCTGCGCGGTGTCCAAAGCATTGTGCTTCTAAGAATTTGCCTGCGCTGCGGAGGACTGGGAAACACAAGCAAGCAGCAACCAACCCGCACCTAGAAAACTCTTTGTCAGGTGCTGCTCCCACTGCAAGCGCAAGCCACGAAAAAGCCGATAGTACAGCCTCATAATATTGACCGCTCAAACAGCTTTGAAGTCTGTGAAGCATCTTTTTTGGAATCTAGACGTGGGTGATCATGGATGATCATGGATGCAACTGGCCTGCTGATGGGGCTGAGAAGAAAAACAGCTGCAGCGTACCTAAGGAAGCTAGCCACAATGAACCTGCTGCACAATGTGTAAAAACTGTCGAGGCACTTCAGAATGGTCCGCAGTATCTCCGGCCGCTCCAGTGACCTGAGGCGAGGAGGTAAGAAAGCCACGTGCCACCAATTTGAACATCTATATAGGTGTATATATATATATATGTCTCTATTCTCCCTGGAAAAAAGCGAAAAAATAAACGAGAGAGTGAGATAGTGAAAAAAGTAATAAAACAAGAAAATAAGAATCTCTTGATCATGCTCCCCTTCCCCCCATGGCTGCTGGATCGTTGTCAGGGCGGAAAAAATGCTAATGCCCCCTTAAATATGCCTCGTTGAAGAGGCCCTTACCTTTTTTGCTTCCTCTCCCCTCCTTCTCTCTTCCTCCTCTCTCCCTCCTATCTTCCTCTCTTCACCGAACCTCAACATGCTCGTGTATCCATGTATCTTGATTTCTTGACAAGTGGCCCAGAGAGGAGATGTTGTAGTTCTTTGCGTTTCATCTGGGACAGCCAGATCCGCGCTTTGCCACGGAAGACTTGGACGCAAATTACCTGAGGCTTCGCCCACCCTCTACACAGTTCCAACTTCGAAGCAACTATCCTGCCGCGCTTTGTGGAAGGCCACGGCTAGGGTGCTATTACCTGAAACTAGACATGGTTAGTTATATATATATATATGGCTTGACATTCTGAAATCACATGACAAGAAAACAACAAAGAATCTAAAAGCAAAGGAAAGAAAAGTGAAAGAAGAATAGAAGGCCAAAAAGAAAGAAATAATGATGAAGAATGCTTGACAGTCTTTTCCTCTTGAGTTGTGGGCATCATCTGGGCCAAGGCTCAGCTGCCAAACGGCTAAAGGCTTCAGCACGGCATCTCCGATCACCTGGGACTCAGCTGGGCGCATGACGACTTAGCTTAGCTGCCGCTTCGACCATCACGTTTAACAACTTGGGACCCAGCTATCCCACCAAAACAGCCTGATGAGTTGGAAGCTCGCAGTCCATGGCTTGGCCATCTTCGCAAACTCGAAAATTTGAAAAATGAAGATACACTTGAATTGCTGCCATGCTGTTCTTGTGTCAGGGATCTCAACCAAACAACATGTCAAAGCACCGAAGAGGATTAATGAAACTAACCAAAACGCAGAATCATGTCGGCGCACTACTTCAAGAGAACTGCTGGCACACCAGGACAACAATGCTAAAGCCAAAACTCTGCATAGTTGTCCATCGCATGCACGGAGATGGTTCTTGCGTGCGTGCGTGTGTGGGCAACATCTACAGCATCCCCAACAAGACCTGAAAACGCTGTAGCTTTCTCTCAATGTGTCTGATTTGCCGAGTGCCACGCGATTCAGAGCACTATCAAATTTGCTGCAAATGCTCGCCCCCGAAGCACACAAAGAAGACAAGCAACAATGCATCAAACGTTTTCAAAAAAAAAGAACACGCACACGCAATATATATATATATAGACAGTTTTCAAAACAAGCCGCGGGAGGGAGTCCACTTGAATTGGCATGCCACACCCAACAAGTTTCAACTCATACAAGCTCAAAGTGCATACAGTTGCACTCCAAGTGTGGTGCTCATCTTTGCAAGTGAATTTGTAAACAAGGTCTATCTAGCCGTCTCAGGAGATAACACAATTGTCCCGACGATCTTGCCGAGATGCCCCAGCACTGAACCTCAGCTGAATATAGCAAAAGCATCACAAGCATCATGGCACCCAAAGACCGTCGTACATGAAGGCTCAAACCTAGCTTGATATATCTACGTTTTTTTCCGTTAAATGAGAAGTGCACAAACAAAGAAGAATCTCAAAAATGCTAGGGCTGCTGAAGAGCGAGCGCTGATGACTGCCACCTCTAGGGTTCCCACGTCGGTGACGATCCTCAGGTGTTTCACAAGGGTACCATATGGAGTGGTCGAACTTCATGGTGGATCTGGATTTACAACAAGGTGTTGATTTCAGGTCTATGAGTTGGGACCATCTGTCGATTTGGCTAAATCTACAGTATATATGCTTTCAAGATGCCATTCTGCAAAGCTTCATATCTGCACTCGCCCCGATCGGACCATTCCTCTTCAGAGAACTGCTCAGAGAGGATGCATCACAAAGTTCCATTGCCGTGGGAGGTTCTGACATATCATCGTCTGCCTTGATCATTGCCACCAAAGCTGTTGTGTCATCCGCATTGTTTGCTGGAACAGAAGCTGCATTGCGTTGCCAAGGCGGCTTATCCGCATTGTCTTCCCCCAATCTCACACTTCTGATTGCAAGATCAACCAGAAATGAGGAAGCCTCGGCCAGCTCTTCATTTGAGCCAGTCGCGCAGCATCTCTCGAGGGCTTTCTGGATGTCAATATCAGACAAGTTGTCAAACAGGCCATCTGTGCCCAAAACTAAAAGATCCCCAACCTTCACCGGAGTTGTGGCGATGTTGGCAGAGCTAATGACTTCATGAGCACTGGCTGCATCACAGCCATGGAGGCGCTGGATTTGGACTGGTCGTCGGGCATCGTAGCGGCCGGGCTCAGTCTTGAAGATAGGCCGCAGCCGTAAGGGATAGAAACTGACAGGCCGCAAGATGAGGATTCCACTGTCACCCAGGCATGCTGTGACAAGGTTGCTGCCCTTGATTGCAGCCAACAAGAGGGTCGTAGCACCATGTTCCTCTGTTGAGTCGAATGCTTCCTGAATCAACTCAATCATCCATTCACTGTGAGTCTCACTCACCTGCTTTCCTGACTTCTCTTTTGGCTCTCCCTTAGCTGCCGCTGCGAAGAGACCACTGCCACAAGAGTGCAAAAGTTCCCAAGGCAAAGCATCAGGTGTGAGCCCAAGGGCGTGCACCCCTGAGACACCATCAGCGATCCCCAAATAGTCAATGCCTTCGAGAACCGCATCTGCATTGGGGATTCCTGTGCTCATCTTGGCTGGGTGCTGGCGGGAATTAAAAGCTGATGCTATTCGCAGGGTGTCATTTTGACGCTTGGGGCACTTGGCCGAGTAGACTGGAGCAACAAGAGAGAGGCAGTGAGGAAAACCTGTATGCTGAGCATTTTGCTGTGGCATCCTCATTAGTAGTGACTCTTGATTGGGTCCTGCAATCATTGTCTGGCATGCCCTCAGCGGACTTCCCTCCAAACGCTGATCAATAACCAAAGAAGGACAATGCGAAAATGGTTTTGCAATTTTTGAGGTCGGACTGTTTGGGAAGCAGTCGTTTGTCACCTTCTGGAACCTTTCCACCTCGAAATTGCAAGGCATAGTTCTATTGAAACCATGATTGTTTGGCAAGTACGACGGGCTCGAAGCAACGAGGGCTGAAGCTTGCACAACATGATCCACATGCCTTGCTGCAATCGGAGGGATCCATGACTTTGGACGACCTAACTCACACCTAGGAGTAGGGTTTGGGACCCACGAGTGTGATGGTGCAACAGGCAATCGAAATGTCTCATCCGAAACTCCAACCACTTGAGCCACTGGTTTCCAACTTTGCTGCGGGGTGATGCGTGGAGGCACCCAACTTGCACCTCTTGGAGTCTGCGGCGGCCCTCTAGGCGTGCATCTTGAGACAGGGGAATGCGGGCCCTGAGGAAGCGATGACAAAGGAAATGCACAACCCTGGTGCCCAGCATCTCTGGCCGAGCGGGCTGGAGTGGGAATTGCACGGAGCCCGATATGAGGTTGACATGACACCTCTTCTGTCAGCATGCATTTTGCCACTGGCATTGTAGCCTTCGGAGCTGCAAGTTTGCTTCCCAAACCCGAATTCTGCGCAGTAGGTGCAGAATACGAATGCCCGTGCTGCAAGTGGCTCATCATGGCGTCCAGAGAAGCACACTATTGGAAAGTTGTTTTATCAGGCCACAGCTTGGTCGAGGTGCGACAATAGTGCAATCATGTTTGTCATGCACCCTGTATTCAGTTTTTTTTGGGTGGCACACGGCTGCATACATCCAGAACATCACAAGTAGAATGCAACAAACAAGCTCAATTGAACTTATCAATTGCATCAGCACCGACCCGAAACAGCAGTGGCAACTTGTCCTTCCCGCTTGCCAGCGAATTTCCTTGCGTCTTGTTTTTTCAGCATCATCTGTGCCCAGCATCCAGAAGAGCCTTGGAAAAGAAAGACTTTAAAAAAAGGGAACATTGCACATTCACTACCGTACAGCCCCGCATCCAGAAGAGCCATGGGAGACAAAGGTTGACAAAAGGAGACAAAGCAGAACCATCACAGCCCAGCATCCAAAAGAGCCATGGGAGACAAAATTGGACAAAAGGAAAGTAGACGACGGGTGGCCCGAGAGCGAGAAAAAGAAAAGATGTATACCCCCCTACCAAAAGATTGCACAAGTAAAAGTGCTCCATATGCTACTTTTTCCTGCGGAGCGGCA